ATGTTATAATTTTTAATTAAAATATTCACAGATCTTTTTACTGTATAATATTGATAAAAATAAATGTATCCAACGGAAAATATTTAGGTATCTTCTTTTATGTGAAGATACATACTTAAATATATCTGAACTGCAATGGTTGCTAAGCAAAATACTTTGTCATGAATAAGTTTCAGTGTTCCCATGGAATTATCAAATTAAGAATATTAAAACTGCACATCTTCACTAGGTCCTGATATATATCCTTTAATTCCACGTTTTAAGCTTAAATATTACTCTCAGTGATACTAAAACACTTTTTGAAATGTACTACCACTGTTAACTTAAAACTAACTATATGTTGCTATGGAAAACGCAGGTTGATATGACTGGTTATATAGATACCAAATCAAATTGTTCTTAAATGCAAACATGGTTACTAAATATATAATTATATAGTTTTTTAGAAATATGAGTTATATGAAAATATTTGAATGTTTTCGTTCTTTTGACGGATTACATTGGATAAAAAGTCCTTTTAGTTTGATTACTAGGCAACATTGTGGTTGCTAGGTTGCTATTTGGAATTCCTTTAAATGAAAAATCTAACAATAATATATATTGGAGTGTTTGGTAACACATCACCTAACATTTTAATGGATTTAGTGGTCTTTTTCAAGGGCAATGCATTTAAGTTGGATATTATAGTAAATTTTATGAAACCCGTTGCTTGGCAACCTTATGTTCACATAAACACAAAATGTTCGTTTTTTTTAAGTCACTATGCATCGATTTATGATTGGTTGAATATAAAGTCACTTATAATACCTTGTCTTTTACAAATCTTAATATAAAAGTATGTAGAATTTAGGTAGAGTCTTAAAATCATATAAAACTTCAAGAAATTGAAAATATTGTTTAAGTCTTGCAACAAAACAAATGTACATGTATTTTTTTGTAAAAATAAATCCTGTATCTAATTTTGAACTTTTTAATCAAAATATAAAATAGTAAATGGCATATTATTAGTTAATGAAATATGAACAGTTTTATACCTTTTAGAGTTCTTTCTACTCCTTTCTAGACTTTCTTAAGGTATTCAATTAATGGCAACTTCACGCGTGTTTGCAAAAAGACTAATCAATGTTTTGGATCTGTGCATGCTATAGATTATTGATTAAACATTATCATGCAAGGCATTTTCAATATTTTCGAATCAGAATTGACAGATTAACCGTATCTTATTTATAATAATTGAACAGAATTATAAGGATAACTTTTTTATTATAATTCCAGCATGTTCGTGTATATGTTTTCAACAAGGCATTCTTCTGACTTATATATTGAAGGGTTGACATCGTTATGATATCACAAACGTATCTTTTTTACGTTTATCATCAATACAAGGACATCATTTGTTAATATAAATTAACGTGCACACATCTTATACGTTTATATACTTTACATCCAGTCTCAATGGTTAGATTATTTACAAAACACAAAATTTTATGACCTTATATTTTATTCACTCATATGGTCTTTGCATCGGAAATAAACATATCTGTTCTAAATACCATTTTTACACAAACGTGTCAAAACTTTTACTAAATTTTATCATCGGAACAAATACAAATCAACGTGCACACATCTGATATTGTACATCCTTTCTTCGATATAAAATTTCAATCCTGGTATCTATGATGAGTTTATTTACGTAGCTATGTATTTTATACAAAGCATGAAATTTGTTGACTTTATATAAACACATTTATTCCAATAACAGTTGTTTTTCATGATACGGGTTATTTTCTCATCGTATAATTTATGATGGCATGCGACAAAACCAATAATGTGATAATAGTGATTGTGGATGATTTTGAAATGATGACATAATATTTCAGTAAAAATGATGTTAATTACTGCTAGTAGTCCCATGGTAATGTTGACAAGTATACTTTAACTTTAATTGGTTACCCTACCACTGGGTCGATGCCACTGCTGGTGGAGTTGTTAATCCCCGAGAGTATCACCAGCCCAGTAGTCAGCACTTTGTGTTGACATGAAATATCATTGATAAGGTCATAATTATAAATTAACTGTTTACAAACCTTTATAAATGTTTGAAATACTTAGGCTTTTCTACCTCAGGAATAGATTACCTTAGTTGTATTTGGCCACGCATTCAGGAATTTTTGGTTCTCAATGCTCTTCAACTTCGTACTTTATTTGGCATTTTTAACTTTTTTTTTTATTCTAGTGTCACTGATGATTCTTTTGTAGATGAAACGCGCGTCTGGCGCAAATATAAAATAATCCTGGTATCTATGATGAGTTTATTTACGTAGCACCTGATATTAACTGTAGTTTTTTAAATTAAGATTTAAGTGTTGTATTTGTTACTTGTTGATTTTTCATGTCAATAATATTTACAGTCTTGTCGATATTTGTCATTGAAGACGCGGTTCAGATTAAAATGTCACATTCGGTCAACTTTGAGCATTTTAAAATTTACCTGTTTGGTTGATTACCAATTTCATTATGTCTTAGAGTTAATGTTTCACAAATTCGCTGTTTAGTAATTCCTAATCATTTGATAGAAATTATCAACGTATTCTATCGAAGCAAACCGACGGATGATATACAGGGAGCAGAATCGGCTCAACCTTTAAGAACTCACTAGACACTCTCGGTTTTGGTGTTGGTTTTCTTGCTCAGTCTTTAAGTTTTCTATGAGTGTGTTGTTGTTGTTTTGGGGGGATTTTTTTGGCATGCATTATGAATACGTTTTTGACTGATAGACTTATAAATCAATCTTTCTGCCATCTTTTAGGTTGCACTTTGTAAATATAGCTGTTTCTCAAACCACGCCTCTTTTGGGGAGATATATAGTATTCATAGATAATTAATTCTGTTTACGTACTGGTTCCCAGATATGATCTCTATGTTTCATCTCGTAGAGAAATAACTTGGGAATGTTACCAGTAAGTATGCATATGCATTTTGGTCAAATTGAAATCTGTGGGAACCCTTAAGACAAGGTATGGGTATTAAAGAATTTTAGTGTAAGTTAAAACTTGTAGAAGTTTGGGGCATATAAACGTTAAAAATATGCCGCACAGCCCTATATTTTGACCTTTGAAAAAAATAGTAGTGCATATGAACTTTCCATTCTAGGATATAATTTTTTCAAAACTTCATAGTAAAAGTGGTACAGTTTTAGCCGTAAAAGGAGTTCCTATGGGAAATTGCATTGTAGATATTTACAGAAATGCAACTTTTTATAAGATTTTGTTCAATCCTACTATCATATTGGTATTTTATTATTTTGCATATATCTCATTTTTTCTCATACCTGTTAATACAACTTTAAGACTTAAATTGATACTAGATTATAATAATAAAAAAAATATCTGACAATCTTTTCTAGAACCAACAAAAAAACTTCTTCACCTAGTAGATATAAGTAATTACATATACCTAAATCTTTCATAGATACAAAATTTGGTTGGGAATTTTGTCTGTTCCTTTTGAAGACTAGTTACAAACAGGATATTACACCCTAGCTTTTATATGGAGCGGTACGAACCAATCGATACTTTAAATAGATTTATACTGAAACTCAATAATTATCTTTGGAAATTTGCTATATTTGTAAAAATATATTTTGTTATCAATGTATTCAAACGTAGTTAAATATGTATTTCTATACAGCTATGAACATGCATATGCTCCTACATGCTTTTAATACTTTGGCATTGCATAAGATCATGTGTTTTTCTGACCTTCTTATAACAAGTCTTAACAAATTTTAAGTTAACAAATAATTTTATCCACTGAATGAGAGCTGATTGGTGTTTTGGCCTTGCATGTATGATTTTTAAATAGATGTTTGGATTTGAACTAGCTTTCAGTAATTGCGAGTTCTCTGCGATCGATACTTTGTGCCTTAATGCATTTTGTCTTTTAGTTCTTTAGTCCTTACGTTTTTGTGCGCTATTTGTTAATCTAATAGGTAAAACCTTTATCAATTGGTTATTGCTGTTTGTTCTTATATTGTATGTCGGTTAAATCTAATAAGAGCTTATGTTATGCCCTTGTTTGTATACTATGCCGACTTTTATTTATTATCATTATGTATGAACTGTTACACCACTGTCATAAATCAGGAAAGGGTTCAGCCCCCGCATATTTTCTAATCCAATAATTGAGTTTTACACCTCAAATATCTGTACAAAATACGATACGGTTTTTTTTCAGATGAGGCAACTATCAACTACAGATAAGCGGACGTGAATGAAAGCACAATCATAGGCTTTTGACCTTGTTTAATATTATTTACAGTGCTTTTTAGACTTGAAGAAGAACCTTTTTTGTTATATAGTTTTAAAGAAATGTCTCGATTATTTAAGATGAATTATCAATTCAAAACGATATTTAAAATATGTTGCATAGCAACAAACGCCAGCCACTGAATTACAGACTCATGACGTGCGACAGGCACACAGAATGTTGCATGGTTGAACTCGTTTGAAGGCGCCAATCTTCCCCTAACCTGGGATTAGTATTGTATGAAAGAGAGAAAAAGACAAGAAATATTCACTAATAGCCATTTTCTCGATATTCGTTCTATAAAAATTGAATAATTTCGTTCAATCGATTATGTATATGAAATATTACACAGAAACCTCTTCATTCTCTCTGTAAACTTCCATTAGTTGCTGTCAAGAGATAACGTAAACAGGTATAATATCAACAACAATTTATCAATACAGTTAAAATACCTGACTAACACTTAAACATTAAATAAGTAAAAAAAACGGTTCTTTGAGAATTCTTAAAATAGAAAGTCCTCTTTAAAAATATGTGTGCAGAAATACATTTAAAATGTAAACCAATAAGCCTCATGGATTCGGAATGTTTAAATGTCTATGAATGAATTTATGTTTTAATTTGCCTTGTGTTCTATAATTTAGGTAGATTTTGAAACGGTATTTGTTATTGATAAAATAATTTAACAAAATGTTGACGTTTGACTTTTTAGTTATCCTTTCATTCAGTTCTTCTGTTTATTCAAGGCAATATGAAGTAACATTAAGTAAAAAGGTAATAAGATGTGACTGTAGTTCAAGGAGGTTCACATTTATATCGACAGATTGTCCATCAAACACAACAGATTTACTTCTGATGAAAAATAACCTAAACGGTCTAGGTAAGGCAATATTTACTAAATATACACAGCTTATATATATTGATATGAGCAGTTGTAATATAAGTGCAATTGATAAATCAGCTTTTGAAAAATTGACACATTTAACCGAACTGAATTTATTCGATAATCCAATGAAAACGTTTCAAGGGAATATATTTGCACCACTAGATGAACTAAAAGTACTTCATATATCACATGATTTGCTATCAACGTATCCAAGAGATTCGTGGTCGGATGTTTCAAATTTAACAAAGGTGTTTACTTATGGTGGACCGTCAAATGGATCATTCGCAGAAATATTTTCTGTTATGCAAAATCTAAAGTTCTTCAACAGTGATTATAAACATAATATGTTACATAACTGTACGTTTAGCGCATTTAAAAGTACACCGTTGGAATATTTAAGTATAGTGGGCAGATTATGGGCGATAGCAATACATGCTTTTTCACCTTTAAGAGTTCTTTCTAGTCTAATTATTCCAAATCAAGATTATCTTATACTATCAAATACATTACCAGCTTTGCACGTGTTTGAAAATCGACAAATGGATGAATTGGATTTGAGCAATAATTTTAGACATTACGGGGAATATGTTATAACAACCGATCTACTTGCATTTATCGGTAATATATGCGTAAGGAAAATATCTTTAACTGGTAATGGTATAAGGCTGATAGATGCAGCCGCCCTTCAGAAGATGAAATACAAACATTGTCTTGAGAATTTAAATCTTAATAATAATGACTTCGATTATCATCAGGCTTGGTTGATAGTGGATTTCAATTTGTTTACAAATCTCAGAAGAATAGACTTTTCGTCTATAAATGGACGATTCACTAACAATATACCAATACAAAAGAGATATAGTAAACGATGTACACTTGACCATCTAGACAAAAGTTTAGTTCCCATACAAACATGCAACATGGAAGATATCGTGATACGATTTCCGTCTTCGCTTGAATTCATCAACGCATCTTTAATTCACAGCCATACCAGTTCAATAAATAGCATCACGTTTAAGGGTATAAAAACACTAAAAATGTTTGATTTAACATACTCTTCATTTTACGACTGCAATTATTATTTTCACGGATTGCAGAACGTGAGAGTTCTAAATATGTCACACTTCAAATGTAGTGTTTTAAATCCTGAATTTCTTCGTTCGGGTTTAAATTTGGAACAGTTGATAATGCAAAGTTCTTCACTAAGTATTGGTCTAAAAGATGACCATCACAGTATATTCCTCCATGGACTCAAACGTTTGCAGTATATAGACTTTTCAAGAAATGCATTTGAAGACCGATTCAGAATTTCAACATTTAAAAGTCAATTAGACAGTTTGCAATCTTTGATACTTGAAGGAAATTTATTCACAAGTATTCCCTTAAATCTCAATTACTTTAACCGACTTAGTCTCCTTAACCTGAGAAACAACAAGATGGCTTATTTGACTACACAGGAAATTGACGCCCTTGAAGTGCTATTTGAAAAATCAAATAGAACTATGACAGTCTTATTAGAAGGAAACCCTCTTGTCTGTAGTTTTGCTTCGTTAGATTTTGTAGAATGGTTATTTACTACTAAAGTGAAATTTGACACAATGGTAGTTATTCGTGTGTCGAAAACGATGGCAATATTACACCAACAAATGCAGTTTACAATCACTTGCGAATTATGAGAATCAGATGTATTACGACAGTATGGGTTATTTTCTCTGCATCATTGTTCGGTGTGCTTCTTTTATTCATTCTAGGTGGATATCGTTACAAATTGCACCTACAATACTTTTGTTTATTATCGGAATCTCCAATCCTCTTTTCCGGAAGTCAAAAGAAGAAGAACTTGAATATGATGCATATGTAGCTTATTGCGATGGCGACTATAAATAGGTATATGGACCTTTGCGCTTATTCCTTGAAGAGAAACGAAATTATAAACTTCTTTTGTCAGATAGAGGAGATGGAGACGTACGGAGTAGTCAAAATAGGCTGGCCATATGTAATTCCATTTCAAAATGCAAAAAGATAATCTTAGTGATTTCAAATGAGTTTGTGAACAATGAATGGGCAAACTATGAAGCTACTATTGGAATTGAGCATTTTGTTGGGTTGCAAGCAAAAATAATTGTCATAAACTTAGAACGTACAATCAAAACAGAAATACCAAAATGTGTATTGCAAATGATGTCTCTAAATGCCAATGACCACATTCGTAAAACAGACACATTAAATGAAAACAACATTTTCTGGAAATGTTTGGATAAAGCCATGAAAAGATAAAAGTATAAATGTTAAATGATTAAATTATGATATCAAACAATTTTTGAATTTAAACTTTTACATTGAATATGCTGGGATATCTCATTGAGTGAGCTATGTAATAGGACAAATAAGAGAAAGACATCAGTATGGTACATTTATTATCTTTTGTTGAACACTAAATAATGGACAACAAAACAAATCAAAATAACCATTAAAAATTCAATCAAACCAAAAAAGCATGTTTTCCGTTGGTTTTGGTTTTTGCCCTTCCTGAGTACATAAAATTTCCTTCTGTTTTAAGTTTGATTCGTGTTGCTTAGAATATTGTTTTCTTTTTGGGTTTTGTAGACTTTTTAGGGTGTTTTACGCTATCATTGTATTGTCATTACGTTTCAGACTTGACAATAAAATGTTAAGCAAGATCTACTTACACATCCGACTCACCTGATATCATCATCAAAATATTGCTGGTGTTTTGGTTTACTGCGTCTACTCTTAGCTGTCAAATATCATTTTAATATGTACGCCATATCAAAATAGGGAGATGTGGTTTGATTGCTAATGAGATAACTATCCATCAAAGTTCAAATGAATTGGATGTATACAGTTATAGGCAACTGTATGGCGTTCCACAATGAAAAACTCATACCGTATAGTCGTTTATAAAAGGCCCCGACATGAAACAATCAAACTAAGAAAACTAAAGGTCTAATTATATCAAAACAATCTACAAAAAACAATATGGCAGAATAAAAGACAACAACTTAACTACATGACCTTGTTTAATGTCAAAATATAGGTTATCGAAAGATTGTAGTACCGTGACAGAACATGTGTGTATAGAATAATATTTAGTATTATTTTGATTTACTGATAACTAAATCAATTTTTATACCAATAAAACAATATTCAAAGATTTAATTACAGTATTGAATTAGTCACCTTTAAAATAAGTTTATATCAAGGATTGTATATAAATTTCCGGGCTCGATTTAATAAATTATCACCGTAAATTTAAGGTTTCCTATTACGTTTGAAATAAGTTTTCTACAGGTCAAGCAAATTTGCAAACTATTTTTTTATTATATCTGTTGAAGAATTTTGTTAAGGTTTTAGGCAGTTATAAATAACGAAATCACTGACTTAATACTTATGAATTATACATGTTATACATAGATTACAAACATTGAAATCCTAAACGCCAATGCCGACAAAGCGAACGAATTGGAATATGTATACACTAAAGACGGTGCCATAGAAACATCATCGTCAAAAAAAGGAAAATTCCAATAGGGAAAGAAAAATCATCCCTTTTGTCATAAATGTTTGTGAAGAGTTTTTGGTGTAACACTGAAATATCTTAATCTAGAAAGGACAGTTGTTGCTGTTAAGTTCCTTTGGGTAAATTAAAACAGTATATACAGAGAATTCTTGATTATGTATTGTCATTATGTAAAACATATCATCGTAGTTGGTTTTAAATCAAAGTATTTTTATAATACATATGGCGTATAATAGCAATTTCCAAAATTAACGCATCATAAAAGTATTTTTTTATAATACATATGGCATATAATAGCAATTACCAAAATTAACGCATCAACCACCAACATCCCAGTACCCGTCGAAAGTAAATGAACAAATATCCCATGATAGTTATTGAAAAGATATCATATTATTTTGTGAATTTTGCGTTCGATATAATTCATTGTACCGTCATGCATGCAAACCATATTTATTTTGTTCAATAAAAAATTAAATATTCTAACAGGATGTGACTACGTTGCATGCAATAGGAAAGTATCATTTAAATTTAAACGATAACGGTTTTCTTTCAATTTAAATACCACTTCCTTATACCCAAATCTAATTCGTATAAAGTTACCTTTTATAACAGGTAAAAGAATTCGAACAAATCCAAATAAAGGTTAGAATGAGTGACACCATTTAAATGCATAAATAAATGAAATTCCTTCTATTTAAAAATGTTACTGTTTTTGTCTTCTTATTACATTCATTTCCTTTTTGTCCAGTGTGATAAGAGAAGAACATACTTTAAATTACCACCCGAATATCATATTGAATATTTAATTACTTTTAAAAAGCCATTACTGTTTTTATACTTGTTTATAGAATGATACTGTATTATACAGTGTAAAGGGGCACTAGCTACGAGATACATAAAAAATCTTAAATTATGATTTTTTTTCAATCATTAATGAAAGTGGAATAGTGAAATAAAAATTCGCTATTAGCAGCAGGTATGGTAAAATTTTGTCAAAATAAGATAAAGAACATCGATGATGAATTATTCACTTGCAAGTGAATAATTAGACCTCATTGAATCCGTATTCATGTGAACTTCAAGTAAACCCCTTAGCTAGAGATGGATTATGCATGATTGATGCGTGTTAGGACATTGAAATAAAAGAATGTCATGATTGAAAGTGAAACAGAGGTAAATCATTTGATTGTCTGATTCGATCATCAAAAGAACCATTCTTATACAGGTAAAATCGAAAATTAACATTCTTTTAACCTTAAAATTGAAATCAAAAAGACATATAAATATCCATTTCCATGAGGTCCATATATCTAGTTATGCATGTTATATTTATGATTATGTTTATATCGTGTTATGTGACCGTCGGTTGTTTTTGGGGTCATCTCGATAGTTAATTAGATGGCGTCTAGACTAAAATACACACGAAACGAAGCTACATATTATCGAACCCATGCCTTGTGAATTGTTTAAAATTAGACTTTTTATAATTTGGATAAATGTTTACCATTGTTATAAATCTAATATCAGAACTTGAGTCAAATCGATGAACATGAATTTGACAACTAGTGGCCCTTTAAAATGATGTTTAACTATAATAAAGTCATCTGCTAAAGAAAGAAACATAAAAGACTGACAATGTTTCTGTTCATATGGCTACACGTAATACGATTCCCTCTTTGGTTACTTATATGCATTTCATCTAGTCTCTAATGGTCTTAAGTAGTTTTATTGGCAATCATACTACATTTTGTTTAATTGTTAGTGCATAGAATTTTTATACAAACATGTGGCTTATAAATCGCCAAAATGTAAGTTCTACTATAATCATGTTTATCATGTGTTTTGAACTAAGGCCATGCTAAAAACTACTTATTTGTACTCTCTGTGCATAAATTGGAGCGAGTAAGCGAAATCTTATTTCAATACTTTTTTTCGGAATGGATCAATTAGTATGCATACAAGTCTTTAAATTTTCTTTTCGAAACTTCAGTTTTCAAGAGTGAGAAACTATTTTCAACACCGAAATAAATTCTATTGTCTGTTAGTTGGAGTGTTGATATGACATTTTAAATATAAAATTGTTGATTTATTTCATATGGAGCGATAATTGATAAAGTTTTAATGAAGATACATTTTGTAAGCTTAGAAAAAAAAATTAAATCAGTTTGTTTTATATTTATACATGATTGACTAATTGTATAATAAGGATATATGAAGTATACATCAATGAGACAGTTTTCAACAAGAAATGAAACACACATAATTTTTTCACGAGGTACGAGGCACGAAATGGCATTCATTTAAACCTTTCATGAGGTACGAGGTACGAAATAGCAAACATATAATTTTCCAAAATATACGAAATGGCATTCACATAAACCTTCCATGAGATACGAGGTACGAAATGGCATACATATAAATTGTCCAAGAGATACGAAATGGCATCCATATAAACCTTCGATGAGGTACGAAATGGTATACATAGAAATCTTCCACAAAGTACTAAATAGTATACATAAATATCTTCCATAAGTTACGAAATGGCGCACATCAATGTGACAGTTTTTACCAAGATATTGAACACACATAAATCTTCCATGAGAAACGAAATGGTCAAAGAACGAAAGGGTCAAGGTATATATTGTAACAGGAGATTGTTACACTGATGGGTCAAATTATCTCCAAAACAATATAAGTAAAATATTTCTATGTTATTTTCTTTTCAATTACTTTTATATTTCAACTGTTTGAGAAGTAATGCATTTTAATGGCTGCCTCCATAATTATAGAATGACGATTGATAGTCTGAAAGATTATCAATCACCTTGATTTAAAATACTTGTACTGATACTTGTATACTTTAATCAAATAGATAAATTTTCACCTTCCCACATTATCAATCGACTCATTCAAAGCGAGTATTTTCATGCACTCATGCTTCTGCATAACGTTCATTTTGACGTCTGAAAACTTTTATTTTGTCATCAATTCTAAGCAAGGGAAAGCTGGACTCAACACAAAAAAGGAAATTCAATGAAGTTGTTTTAGAATGACTCCTTCTACTGTACGTCGTGAACGTAAATCATCTTATCTAAGCCTATAACGAAGTGAGGGCGGATAGTCTTGGATTATGCCTCCAATGTGTTTGTCTTACAGTAATGGTACCAGGCAGAACAACGATTCCTGAGAAGAATGAATTCAAATCAACAGTCTTGACGTAACGTGGTTTCTCTTGAACGTCCACTTCGTGGTCTGTCACTAGAAGAACAAGTCTGTCTCTTACAACTTATTAGTCGTTTTATTGTCAACTTAAAAAAGTACAAAGTTCTTCGCGACGTATACCTGCTTGTACCATTCCAACTGCTCTATCATGCTAAGTTTTAGCGAAAACAAGGCATATAAAGCCTGCTAAGGACCTAAATGTGGTTCCGCTTCAAAAAAAAATAAATAAAAAAGCACTAAAATGACGTTAGCATCAAGTAATACAAAGTAGTCAGCAACATACAGATATATATATATAAAGCTAACAGTAGTATACCGCTATTCATATGTATGACTGTGACTGTTTTCGATCTTATAGGAAGTAACAAATCTTATGTGAAACAATCGATTACAGATTCTTACTATAACTTGGTACATGAAATTTCAATTTCCTCTGGGATAAAATTATGTATTTCAAATTCGTCTTTTCTAATCGAAGAAATGTATCTGGTGATTATAAATAGGGATAAAGGCTAAGAATTCGAAATTAAGTTCTGAAAGTTTAAATGGTT